TATTTTTCTTAAAGAAATAAAAAAACAGTGGGCCTCCCCTTCCTCCCTTCCTTCAGTAAGAGAGACTGATAAATGGATTTTTAGCACTTTCACAGATCTCACTGGGACCCGGGAGGTTCCCAAGGTAGACGAAGCCTGGATCCCTCTGGTATCCCAGAAGGCGGTCACTAGGGACATGGCGGAGGCGCTTAAAGCAGATGACAGAAAATGGGACCTCACCTTTCGGAAGACCCATCAATCAGCAACATGGGCAATTAAAACGGCCACTTGTGCATCCTTTTTGTGCGGGCCACCCTATTATGGCTTCGTCAGCTTCAGGCCAGAATCCCTGCTGAGGACATTCGGACTCACCAGGAACTAAACAAAATGGTGGCAGCCACTGAGTATGCTGCAGATGCAACGCTTCAGTCGGCCACCTTTGCATCTAGGTCCCTTGCAGACAACATTACAGCCAGAAGGATGCTGTGGCTGCAATACTGGCAGGCTGACGCCAAAGCAAAATGGCCTCTGGCAACTGCTCCATATCTGGGCTATAGTCTTTTTGGGGAAGTCCTGGTCCCGTACCTGGTGGCAAACAAGGACAAGCGGAAGGCCATGGCTCACTTGAATGGACGGTCCGACAAATGTCCTGCTCCATATGTCCACAGGCAGTCCTCTCAGCCGGCAGCAAGTTCAACTGCCACTCAGCCCTCCAGTTCATACACAGCCAGGCAGGACAGGCCATATGTCCGTCCATATGACAGGCCGGTTTTTCAGCATCGGCAACAGAACCAATGTAAGGGGCCATTTCGAGGGGCAGGTCGCCCCTATAAGGGGTCCAAGAGACTCTTACACTGCACTTCCCATTGGGGGAAGGCTGGCCCACTTCTTCCATCAGTGGGAACTCATATCCAGGGATGCCTGAGTCCTACAAACCATCTGGTTTGGTCTGCCCCTGGAGTTCCTAGTTAGCACCCTGGACCGCTTCATCTCTTATCCCATTTCCCGGAATCCACTCACACAGAGACTCGTGCAGGAAGCCATTCAGCATCTTCTAGAGGGTCAGGCCATAAAGCTGGTACCTCCGAATCACATGGGAAGGGGATTCTACTCCATCCTTTTTGTGATTCCCCAATCCTTAGGAGGATGGAGAGCAATTCTGGACCTCAAGGGTCTGATTCATTACATCACATGCACGATGCAATCACTCCAGTCCATCCTGGATGGCATCAGACAGGGAGACTCCCTGGAGTCAATAGACCTCATGGAGGCATATCTCCACATCCCCATCCCTCCAGCTCACTGGCAGTTCCTCAGGTTCTCTTACAGGGGCAGGCATTTCCAGTACAAGGCCCGTCGATTTGGTCTCTCCTTGGCTCCCAGGATATTCATCAAGATCCCAGCTGTACTGGCCGCCCATGTACGGAAGGTACTGGTACGCGTCCAGTTTGACTGGATGAAATCTTGACCCAAGCGTCGTCCTTCCGGGCAGCTCAGTCGGACCAGCTACTAACTATTCAGGTCCTCCAACAGCACAGGTTCTCGGTCAATTTCCAGAAAAGCCAGACAGTTCCCTCATCCAGTTTTCTGCACCTGGGAGCCATCACAGACACACAAACTGCAGAGTCTATCCCTCCCAGGAGTGGTTGGTCAGCATCAGGGTTCTGGCTTGTCGGGTGTACAAGGGCCGCACCATTTCACCAGTCTGGATCTCCCAGCTTCTGAGAAAGATGATCTCCGGCATAGCCATAGTTCCCTGGGCCAGACTCAACTTGCGGGAGCCTTAATGGTTCCTCCGACCATTCCAACGAGCGGCCAGCGCATCTGACTGCCAGGTCAGGCTCCCGATCCACACCCTCAGATATCTACAAGGGTGGTTCTCACAAGTGGTGTCCAAGGGATCATCTTTCAAGGAGCCGGACCATGCCACCATCACGACGGTCGCACATCTATTCAGTTGGGGTGCCCTTCTACGGTCTCAGTTTGCAATGGGCCATTGGTTCCGCGCAGACTTGAGACACAACAGCAATTGGCTGGAGCTCAGGGCCATGAATTCAGATCTTTGCCAATTCTGGCTTTGGATCAGGGACCGTCAGGTATGGGTCCTCATGGACAAAGTGGCGTCCAAGGCCCACGTGAACCGGCAGGGGCACACCAGGTCCAAGTTCTTTATGTCCAAGACACGGCTACTGGGGCCCTGGACAGAGCCCAACCTGGCTCCTCTCAGGGCCAAACACATCTCAGGAAGGGGATTGCATCCGGATCTCTTTGCCGAGATCTCCAGTAGGCCCGGCCATCCGATCTTCGGCATGTTTGCATCATCAAACAATGCCCAACTCCCCAGGTACTTCTCCCATTATTATCTTCCAGGGGCGGAGGGAACAACTGCCCTGCGGATTCTGTGGCCATAGGTTTTCCTGTAGGCCTTCCCTCCCCTCCCGCTCATTCCAGCGACCTTCCGCAAACTGCTCCAGGAACAGGCGGAAATGAGCCTCATGGCCTCATACGGATCACAGAGGCCCTGGATTGCCGATCTGATGAATCTCTCCTGGTCTCCCTCGAGGGAGATTCCTCCGCATCGGGTGTCCTTGCACCAAGGGGTCCTCCAACACCCGGACCCTCAGTGGTTGCAATTGAACATTTAGTGCTTGAGCGCAGCATCATGACACAAAAGTTATTCTCATCACGGGCAATCACTATGACTCAGGCCTCTCGTCGCCTGGCGACCAATCGCATTTATGATTCTACTTGGAAGAATTTTTGCCATTGGTGTAGAAGGCAACAATTAGATATCTACAAATTGACCATTCCTCAGATCGCAAATTATCTTCAGGATGGTCTGGACAGAGGCCTGGCCCCTGCGACTAATTGCAGACAGGTGGTGGCCCTGTCAACATTACTCACTTGTGCTGATTCAGTTCCCTTAGCTCACCATCCCAGAATACGAGCCTTAATCAAGGGTGCGTGCAACACCAGGCCTCCCGTGGTACACAGGTACCCCTCTTGGGAATTGCCTCACATCCTTTGCGCTCTAACAAAAACACCTTTTGAGCCCATAGCTGTTCCATTGCGGAACCTGTCTCTTAAGGTTGTGTTCTTGATCTCATCAGCCAGACGTATCTTTGAGCTGGCTGCTCTTTCGGTCAGAAATGACCGTTGTATCTTTTGCAGCAATTGGGTGGTCCTTCGTCGGGACCCCGCCTTTGTGCCCAAGGTAAACTCGGTCTTCCACAGAGCACAGGAAAGTCATCTTGCCAAATTTTTGCCCCAATCCTTCCCATGACTTGGAGTGGCAGTGGCACACACTGGACGTCCGCAGGGCACTGTGGCATTACATGTAGTGCACAGAGCCTTTTCGTAGGTCTGAGGCCCTATTTGTCTCCTTCCGCCCACCTTCTCTGGGACAGAAGATTTCCGCTGGCACTATTGGCAGATGGATCAGGGCCTGTATCGTGGAGGCATACCAGTCCTCTTCCCTGCCGGCTCCAACTCATCTTACTGCCCATTCCACTCATAGTGCTGCGACCTCTGCGGCATGGGCCACTCAGGCATCCATCGAGGAGATTTGCAGGGCTGCGACATGGTCCTCACCCTCCCTGTTTGTCCGACATTACAGGATCGACCGCTTTGTTGCGGCAGACCCCTCCTTTGGTCAGAGGGTCCTTCAGCAGGTGGTCTCCGGGGGCACTAGTCCGGCCTTATCTATTTCCCACCCATCAGGACAGTGAGGCTTTGGTATGTCCCATTGGTGGATTCTCTATCTTCTGTACTGGAGAAGGGGCGTTGTCTTACCTGAACGCCTTTTCTCAGTACGGAGATGGAGAATCCACACCCACCCTTTAGGTCAGTTAGGCCAAATTTAAGGGTTTGAGAGCCAACACCTCGTCCACCTTCAGCCACTTTCGCCCTCGTCAAGACTGGATCTCCTAGCAAGAGGGGGCGTGTCAAGTTTGGCTACTTGATCTCAAAAGCAGGCAGACAGTGAAAACCCTTTGGTGGATTCTCCATCTCCGTACTGAGAAAAGGCGTTCAAGTAAGACAATGCCCCCTCTAGCCATCTGTCGCTCAGGCTTGTACAGTGCTGCCACTGCTTCAGCTCATCCCCCTCCCCTGCTACCACTTCTCTAGGACAGTCATGTACCACCTGCCAGGTGCTGATGTACTAGTGGTGGTACGCGTACCACCGGTTTAAAAGCCCTGGTCTAAGATTTTACAGTGCATCTTTAAACACATTGCAGATACAATATAACATTCTGCCATGTATTTAAAACTGTGCTCTAAAATGTTTCATTATTTAAGTACTGTAACATATATAAGAACAAAAGGTTTATTTGCGCTAAATCTTTACAACAGTGATAGAACTGCACACGCAGAAGATCCAAGTCTATATCTTCCGCATTATCCATTAGAGCTGAAAAAGTCCTTCCTGAAACCTTGCAAACCACCCCCAATACTGTGCTGTATGCGTCAATGTCATAACTTGATTTAAGGCCAGCTTCAAGGTCCTTAACATTTGCATTCCAGACTTGATTAAATGCTAGAAAAACCTGGATCCAGTGTGCATTTTAAAAAGTCAGCTTTTAGGAAGAGGCAAATGTTTTCAGTCATATGAAAACTAGCATTGTTTAAAATCCACTTGAAAAAAGACTGGTATATAATAATAAAGTAGAAATACAGTTATATTTATAAACTTATATATTTATGTTTCTACTATATTATTACTGTCCTGAGATACCAGTTACAAAGCCAACAATATGGCATTATTTTGCAAGCCTTAAACAATATGAAGTATTTAGGCAGAGGTTTATCCTCCAAGCTTGCTGCTTGACTCCCAGAGGTTTCATTACCAAAATAGTAACATCTGTCTAAATCTACAACCCGAGCTATGAATATTCTCTACAATTTCTAATGTGTAAATATACACAAAACTAAGAGACACAAAAACTATAGAGAACTTCCTCTGAAAACATGGTATACTTGATTTAACTGTTTGTGGCAAAGAAATGTTGTAGAATACAAACCTGCATTTGTGCTTGTTCATCTGCATATTCAATTGATTGGAAAATAGTCAGGGAATATCGACGCCTCATTTCTAGCTGGGCCATGTAAGACCGATACCATCTTTGAATAAGGATAGCTGCTTTAATAGCTGTCAAAACAGGATGTGCCCCCAAAATAAGATTAATTGGCGACAACTAATTATTTGTGCAGATTTTTGGCTCTACAGTTTTAAAATGAATGAAATTCACGGAGCCTGTATTCCATATTTGTTTCTATTACATGGTTTCTTGTAAAATACAGAAGGGTAATCAATAAGGTTATAAATATCGCTGCAAATCAAACACAATGATAATTTTATTATAATTTGTAGGGTAATGTTTGAGATCCTTTGTATCATTGTAAAAAGTAGATACACAGATTAGCAGATAGTACTGAATTCTGTGACACAGAATCTTAAGGCTTTGATTGACCTTTTTGTAAATGAATACTCCTAATTTTTCAAACCTGAAGACATTAGCAACCTAGACAATGTGTACTATATGTTTTAAAAGGTGCTAACAGTTATAGAAAAATACCTAGCTAAATATACTGTAGGTATCATTAAATTCAGTGCTAGCAAAACTAAATGTTGCTTTGTGTAGAACAAACTAAGTTGTTAAGAGGCATACATATCATATCAAACAAGTTATAACCTGCCTTTACTATGACAGACTTGGCAGAGGAATGTGTTGCCCTTGGAGCATTGCTCTTATCATTGCTCATAATTTCATTATTCCAATTCTCATTCAAATAGAAATACTGCTTTGTTGTTAAGATGATAAATCAAGACTCAAGGTATTTTATCAATGATGCTCACCAAAGCACTTCCCAAGAGGAATTGCCCATATTCAATATGCCTGAAGGAGCAAACTGAAAGATTCAGAAGACAGCAGGTATCTAAGGCACTGCTGAACTTTCCAAGAATTCATATAAATATCTGGTGTTGAAGGGAAATATTGTGATCACGTATGATATGATCTGAAATATCTATAAGTTAGAGAATGAAATTCTAAAATATTTGAATGTGACACACACCTTGCTTTCACTTTTTCCAATACTCAGTGACTAGTATACTGTCCCCCCTTTTAAAATATATTAATTTCATGATCCTTTTGCTTTTCTATCCTTTGATTTTGTTATTTTCTTTGAATATTAAAGCTTTCCTGTCTTATCTGTGCTCAACTCTGTTGAGATGTTACAATCACTCCTCTTCTAATATACCGTAAATGCCGGCGTATAAGGCGACTTCCGCGAGCGCTGAAATCAGCGCCAAAGATGGGGGTCGTCTTATACGCCGAGTCGTCTTATACGCCGGAAATACTGGTAGTTTCCGGCGTATAAGACGACGTTCTAGGAATGCGGCCCGGCTATAAAGACGGGGGTCGTCTTATACGCCGGGTCGCCTTGTACGCCGGCATTTACGGTACTTTACAAGCCCCACTCTTCTATGCAGAAGCCACCTGGGGTGGAAACCATTAACAAGTTATCACACATAGCCTGTAATTTCATTGGGAGGACTTTTCTGTTTTACTGTTCACCTTGAATTTTTATTTACTTATTTCTTTGGAAAATTTATATTGCCACCTACTCGCACATGGTGACTCAAAGAAATAAAACACAGGAAATAAAAAACACAGTATAAAAGAAATAAAAATAAAATAATAACAATATCTCTTAAATTAAAACAAAATTTCTTCAGAGCTATATGGAAATGCTATAACTGAACTTATCTAATCAATGAAAGAATTCAAATTAATGTTAGAGTGATAATGGACATAAAGGCTTCAAAGAGAAAATTAATCTCCCTCCTTCCCTCCTGTTCCTTCCTTCTACAACATTTGGTGTCCAGGTGAGCAAACACATGTACTTACAGCAACTTCCTACAAAACCCTTATGGAGTACATCTTCATGCATGTTTTTCCTTCATACAGGTATCAAACATCCTTGGAATGACTAAATTAGGCAATCACAGAAAATCCTCATGTATACTTTTTTAGCATGAAAAGAAATTCCATTGAAGTCTTCTTTGTTTTCCCCCCTCCCTTTCCAATAGCTTTAGAGTCATCAGCTGTGCATATGGGACCTGTTTTCATTGCATTGGTGAGTACATTTGCAAAACATTTTCCTTTGGAATAGTGAAGCGATATTATTATGATACATTAATTTTGTTACATGAATAAAACAAACACAGCTCCAATATAAAGTATTACAGAATATAAAACAGAAACAAAATTCCAGCATGTCGCTGTTTACAAGCTTGCTCTTTTTTTTTCCTTTGTACATCTTACTAATTTTATTATGTTTTTATTTTAAAATGTTTTTTTTTTACTGTCATATACTGTGTCAGATGCCTAACTTCACTTTCTTGAAGCTAGCTAGCAACTGCCATAGCCAAGGAGGAGGGGGCAATTGGGAGGGGAGGAGTGCTGGAAATGTGAAAGAATGCTGTGAGAATTTGGGGGGTACGGACACTAACAGGAACCAGAGGTGCCAAACTGAGCTATCTTCCTGCTTTCAAGGACGCCAGCCCTGGGAAAGGAATTTACAACAGTGCTCGAAGCATCAGGTTCCCACAACATCGGAACAGAGCCTGATTGGACTACTCTCACTGGGGGAAGGGTTTTGGACATTGGGGGTTGCTTTCAATATATGATTTTCACATGGTTTTTCTTCAGAGCTTGCCTCACTCGTATGCACTCAGCAACTCTAGTAAAAGAACCTTTTCTGTAGCATCTATGGAGTCAAGAGTCGTTCTTTCCTAGGGAGCAGGCTGTGACCAATCTGACAGTAGGCAAGCTCTGCTGTAACAGTTAACCAGGAGACCAATGTCTACTGAGGGGACTGAACAAAAAAATGACAAGCCATGAAAGTGGCTTGGAAGAGGCTGGAGCTTGTGCCCACCCTCCACCAAACCACATCGCCCAAAAGAGGAGCAAATGGTTGGGGAACGTGCGCATCAGTGAGGAAGTGCCAAAGCCCTGGTGGTCGCTCACCCTGGGAACAAAAGATAGAGAGAAAACCTCTCCGGGTAACGTACACAAGGGGAAGCCATGGAGCTCAGAGTCAAGAATGGCGTGTCGATTGGGGTGAAGAAGAAATCCAAGGGGAGCTGGCTGAGCAGAATGACCTAGTGGAGCAAGCCTGAAGAGTACTGAGAGATACCTTTGGGACCCGGTGAACTTCTCGACCAGTTAACCAAGCCCTGAATGGTGCTGGAACCAGTGGGAGATGGTGCCACGATGCAAGTGGCCATGGCTAGAGGGGCGGCAATCTCATCTGGACCCGCTCAAATCCAGGCAGCCCCACCACCAGCCACTCAAGCAGCATAGCCCTTGCCACAAGGGGGGTCATCTTCCAGGGGGCGCCGAGGCCCCAGCCCTGGGCTTGAAGTACGGAAGAGACCCAAATCAACTGGGATTTTTCCTCACCCATGTAGACTACATGCAAGAGTATGGAGTGGACCTATATCGAAGTAGCCTGGGTCAGTTGCATGACCATGGCTTTGGAAGGCACTGCAACGGAGTAGATGGTATTCCTCCACAATGACGATGTGCCAGAGTTCTGAAGCTTCAATTGGTTCATGATGGCCCTGCACAAAAGATTCAAAGACCCACTTGCCCAATGAAAGATGTGACCCTGCTCAAAACCATCAACCAGGGTCATGGGTGGGTGGGTGGGTTGCAGCTTACAATGAAGAGTTCTGGCTAGCTGAATGGCTAGAAGACGTCTTGATAGAATACTTCCAAGATGGGCTCAATGACAATGTATACAACATCTGCATCTCATGAGGAGGCTCCCGACCCTCTGCCAGTGGTACGTGCTAGCCGAGGAGGTGGAAATCAACCCACAGATGGTGCCATTCTTCCCTGTTGGAGAAGAGAACACCTGGGCACAACCTCAGCCCCAAATGCTGATCCACAGGCTGCTTCAAATGTGGGAAGGAAGGGCACCATGCCGCTGACTGCTAATACGCCAAAGCAACCCCTAAGTCCGGTGGCTTTCTCTTACTAGCATCTCTAGTAAAAGTACCTTTTCTCTACATCTGTGGAGTCAAGGGTCATTCTTTCCTAGGGAGCAGGCTGTAGCCAGTCTGACACACTGGTTTTGTAGTGCTTGCTGTGTGCTTATTGTAAGATGCAGGATATAAGTTAAGCGTGTTTCAGGAAGTTAATGCATTTTCAATACTGTTCTTACAGTTTTTCCAGGTTTTTTTTTGTAACTCCTTCTAATTTTATTATACTTTTTTATCTCTACTTCCTTATTACATACCTGAATCCTTAGGGGAAACAGCTAAGTTGTAATATAAACTACAATAATATAAACTACTGAAAAAGCAGATGGAAGAAGATAAGATAAATTAGTGCAATTCAATTCTATTTGAACCTATTCAAAAGTTTGGCAAAACTTACTCCCAGGTACGAAGGAATCTTGATGTGGAAGACTAAAATACAGAATTGAACCTTTAAATAAATTTCAGGACTTTGAGTAAAAGCTCCTGTTTCTTGATCTTAATGTGCCTTACATACCAGTGATTCTCAATCTTTTATATCTCACATCTCACCGATGTAGAAATGCTGGATCCCACTCAAAACAATAAGGCATGAAAGTAGAGAGATGGGTCTACCTAGATAGTTACATATTTACACACAGAATATAAAACAAATGACAAAACATATGCAAATTGTACAAAACATATGCAAATTGTACAACCACAAACTTACAAATTAAGAAAGTGCAATAATATTACTTGTCATAGAACATTGTATTGCACAAGCAAGTTTTACCTTTTTCTGATTTACTTGTTTGGCTTTTTGTACTAGAACTGCCACATCCCATGACTCAGTAAAGTAAAGGCTGAATTGCTGGTTTAAATTATCCTCATTCTGGATGAATTCTTTAGCTGATAGCGATCCAACTGCACCTCTTTATATTAATCACAATATGCTGTAATGAATCAGTTCTTCATTTTTCCTAATAAAAAAGAATGCAATGAACATTGATTTTGTATTGTCAGCTGCTAAGACACAATGGAATATAATTATCTGAGTCATCCATACACCAGTGAAAGTAGGAGGGTTCACTGTTCTGTAGCTATTGTCCTGTCAGTTTCACATGGATGACTCTCTTTACATCCCAGGATCAGAATCAGGCAGGCAGAGAATTGTCATGTAATTATTGAGGAAAAAAAGTTCAATGGAATTATATTGTAGTAGTTCAATACAATTATATTCATATAGGCAATGGATTGTTTTCTCAACTTTCCCCCCTGTTTATCTCTAAAATGAGGTATTTCAGTAGGATCACTAATGGACAAATGTAACCAAGGCACATAACAGCAGGAATGAACAACCTGGGGTCTCAGAACCATATGGGCCTCAGAGTCCTAGTTTTCTGCACTCAGAAACCCTTTGAGTTTCCTACCATTTTGTAATGCAGGCATTTCACAGTTGTTTTTTTTAAAGCTCCAGAAATTTCAGATATGCCCATACTGTTTGCTGATACCATTTGCCATCTGTTTTATAAGCTTCATATTCCCCCCCCCCCCCAATATTAAGCTTTTTCCACAGCTGGATAGAAACCCCTCACCAATATCAAATTTAGGGTTTATAGACATTGCCTGGCTACCCTATTGCCAGTTCAGACCAGTAGCAGGAACAGACAACACCACAATTTAGTAATTACCTATGGATAATGGAAACAACTTCAAAGCTCATTTTTCTGGTCTACTTCTGAAATTCAGTTTCTCCTATAATTTGCCTTGAGAGTTCCTGTCTATTTAAGAGTGCTGCAATGAGAAGTTAATTGGTTACTTTGCAAAGGTAAGGATGTACCTTCAACTAAATCATTCTTATTATTGTCTCTAGTATTTTTAAAGCTACCTTTACCATAGCATAATGTAAGTAGCACATTGTGTAATAGTACACTGGCTTTTACACCTGTTCTGAAAATAGCACGTTGCTGCTTTGAGGCTGAATCAAAACATTTTTTTTAAAAAAATAATATTTTTCTTTGTCTGAGTTCCCCACTTTCCCTTACATTTTTTTTCACTTCTAAAGCACAAAAACATTTTTCCCACTTCCACAGACAGCAAAATAACATAAGATCAACTGTTTCCTTCCCAAAGCTTCTGTGTTCCTCAAAAAACTTCATAACAATTATCAGTCATGTTATACATGTGTACTTATTACATCACAATGTAAATAAAAAAATGATTTCATCTAACAGGGTTTGAGGTCCTGTTTTTTTACTATGCTACCAAAACCCTTAACAGAAATGATGAAGCAGTAGGCCAAATGGATTCAGGAAGAAAGAATTAATAAGCAACTAGGTATATGGATTGGAAAGCAGTCATCATATACTACAATGTTTACAGCTTCATCTAAAGGTGGTATTTGTGTACTCTAGGACCCAAGAGGCCTTCTGAATTCCTCACCTCCTAAAGATGGGGAAGCTTAATTGATGCTTTTCTGTGGTAGTCAATAAGCTACAATAAACAAGTCTTGCTAGAACTAATGTGATTGTGATATTTTTTTTAAAAAAAAATTCACTTAACTTAAATGTGAAATATATTCCTGCTATATAGATGACAGAACTAAATCAGTACTATCAATTAGGATGTCCTAATATATTGTAGGAAGTCAGCACTCCTCCCCAGAGAAAGAAATATTTTGGGGGAATATTTAAAAAGGCAGAATATTATATTTCCCAAAGAAATAATGGGAGAAAATCTTAAAAGGCAGAAACCTCTCCGTCTCCCTCAAGCAGAAACTCAGCAGGCTAGCTCTGTACAAATGCAGATTTGATAATCCTTTCAAAAAGATTGGAGCCAGGAAGCTTGGAGCTGATGGGATTAGAAAGATAAAGACCCCTAAAAATCTACATTCCCCACCCAAAATCTAAAGACGTGACCTTTCGGACATAATAGGATTAACCTACCACCACTAGAATACCAAAGGGCACACTGAACCTCAGGTTAAAGTTCATTGCACAGGAACAGGAAGAGCCACAAATACAATGACACAGGAACAGGAAGAACTCCAAACACAAAAGCCCAAGAAGCTATAAAAACCACCTCTCCCAGCTCCATTTTGTCAGCCATCCCAGAAACACATGCGGTGTCACTGAAGTTTTTGGCAACTCAATAAACTGGACCTTCTTTCCTAAAGCAGTCATTTGCTGCCTTGTGTATCGCACCCAATGCCGCTGCCATAAGACTGCGGAACAAGCCGGGCGGAGGTAAGGAACCAGTATACCGGTTCCTTTCCACTGCCCAGCTTGTTCTGTGACCTCATGGCAGTGGCATTGGGCAGGGGCCAGAAACGGCCGGTTTTGGTGTGACACGGCTGTTTGCCGCCTCATGTATTGCGCCCAATACTGCTGCAATGCCATGGCACAAGTGGGGCAGGTTCCCCCCTCACCTCCCATTCAGATACAGCTTTGGTGGCTCTGTAGGCAGAGCTGCAAAGTTCTCTTCTCTGACAGAGAACTTTGCAGCTCTGCCTACAGAACCACCAAAGCAGCAGGTGGAGCGCTGGAGGCTCAGGAAGGGAGATTGCTGAAGTGGGCGGTTGGGTCATTGGCAAGAGCAATGCAGTTGAGCGGAAAGCGGCCTCAGAACAAGTGGGGCAGGTAAGGAAAGAAATCCTTGTTCCACCCAGAAATTGCCTTTCTTTCCTTACCTGACCTCCAGCCCCGTGCCATTTCTCCTTCATGATCCGCTGCCGACGCATGCAAGGAAACAAAGGAAAGTTTTTTTGGGGGGGGAAAAGGTCAAGGTCATAAAAGGTCATAAAAGAGAAAGAAGGAAGAATATTAATGATAGAAATATTTTAAAATCAAAAACAGATATTTTGATAGCAATATATGCACCAAATAATAAATAAGAAAAATTCTGTCAAAACCTTCACAGAAAAATAATAGAAATGGAATATCAAAATATATGCTTAATTGAGGAATTTCAATGCAATAGTTGATGGGACATTAGACTATAAAAGCAGTAAATCAAGGAAACAAGGAAGAAAAAGACTTTTTTCAATATGATACAAGGAAATTGGTATACAAGATATCTGGAGAGAAACGAATCCAGGAAAACCACAATACACATTTTATTCTAAATTTTGGTCTAGAATTGATATGATTTGGATGACACCTGAATTAATGGTTAATATGCAGGAAATTGAAATAGAATTAGGTACTTGGGCAGATCATAACCCCTTAAAATGGTGTGGAAAGGAATGCAGAAAAAAATAAGATAGACTTTGAATCAATCTATATTAAAAGAGAAAGAATTTATAGACTTAGCAACAAAAGAAATGGAATTTTTCTTCAAAGAACATAAAAAAGAAGACACAACATTACAAAATGTATGGGATACAGCCAAAGCATATTTTTGAGACTTAGCGATAACATATATGGCAATAAAGAAAGAAAGAAAGAAAGAAAGAAAGAAAGAAAGAAAGAAAGAAAGAAAGAAAGAAAAGAGACAATGTCAGTTGTTAAGAGAAGAGTTTAAAAAATTAGAACTTGAATTACAAATAAACCCACAAAAGAAAATATTGAAAAGACAAATGGAAAATAATAAAACATAAATTAAATTTAATAGAATAAGAAAAATTGGCACAACAAATTAAAAGGGCAAAGCAAAACTTCTTTGAAAATGCAAACAAACCAGGAAGATGGTTAGCTTATAAACTTAAAAATCAGAAGGAGAAAAAATTGATAAACAATTTAGTAGATGAAAAAGGCTGTTTACAATTTAAAAATGAAGCAATAAAAAAAGATAATTAAAGAATACTGTTATGTCCCGAGCCTTGCAAATGGCTCGGGGCGTTTGCAGGCGGTCCCGGGCAGGTGCAAAGCTGCCCGGGACCAGACAGGCTGTCGCCAGCGCCGTGCGCATGCGCGGGTGCTGGCGCGGGAAAAGTATCGCATTGACCCGGGAAATGTCTATATAAGAAGCTGGGAGGTTTTGGGAGCTGCTGAAGCCATCTACTTGTGAACTGAACACAGAATAAAAGAAAACTGAGAACTACAACTGCTTCTCGTGCCTGCTTTTCACCAAGGACTCAACACTGGCGACGAGGATGGGATCGCCTTACATCACCTGGAAAGGAAGAAATGTAAGCTTACCCAAGTGAGTCCTGAGCAGCGGAACGGCGTTGACTCGGCAGCTACTCGCCAATCCAGTGCGCATTCGGGGGTAGGCTGGCTGATAGACCCGTCTCCTGAAGATGGCAAAGGTTGGAAGGCTTTCGGAGTTCGACGTCTCACAACCAGAGCGGTGGGAGTCCTACGTAGCCAGGGTGGAGAACTACTTCCAGGCAAACCAAGTGAGGGAAGAGAGCTTGAAGGCTGCCACCCTGCTTTGTGTTTGCGGTCAAGACGCCTTCGAAATCGCAGAAAACCTTGCAGCACCTGTTCCAGTAGAGTCTGTTAGCTACGCAGATCTAAAGAAGCTACTGAAGGAGCATTTCCAGCCTAAGATGTCCGTCATCGCATGGCGCCACACCTTCGAGCAGAGGGATCAACGATCCGGAGAGTCGGCCAAAGAATACATCGCCGCATTGAGGAAGGCCGCCAAGCACTGCGAGTTCAAGGACCTCGAAGAACGACTGAGGGACCGATTCGTGTGCGGCTTACGGCATCGAGATCTACAACAGAGGCTTTTCGCCAAAGAAGAACTGTCCTTCCAAGATGCCTTAAGAGAGGTCACCGCAGAAGAAGCAGCAGGCGGCGCCGTCAAAAACATGCGGCCGATCAGAAACAGTCCAGAAGTTGCATCCGTGCACCAGGCAGACGTCCAAGGAAACTCCGAGGAGGATCCGGACGAGGAAGTCGACCGTCTCCACCCCACGAAGGAAGGAAAGCAGAAGGGAAGCTCTTCAGCTCCACTCAAGTGCATCGGCTGTGGAGGTCGCCACAGGAGAACCGACTGCAAGTTCCGCTCCGCTACCTGCCGGGCATGCGGCAAACAAGGACACATTGCAGATGTGTGTCTGGGCCGACGAAAGGTACAACCTCAGGAAGAACTGCGCCTGAAAGGTACCAGGGTTCCCAGCCAGAATAGGGTAGGTTTTTGCGCTTCGCGAAGAAGCATCTTCAGGACAGGCACACACAAGCCCATTAAGAAAAAGCTGTCACTCAAGGTGAAGCTACAAGGGGTTCCATTATCTATGGAACTAGACACAGGGTCTGCCCTTTCAATCATCTCCTTGCATACATTTAGGAAGATTTGTTTCGGTAGTGGAACTCAGGCCAAGTTAAGGCCTTCTGACATTGTGTTAACAGATTTTCAAAATTCAAGAGTGTGTGTTAAGGGGGAGGCCACCCTTAACGTGCAATACAAGAGTTTTGAAGGTCCACTAGACTTATTAGTAGTAGGGGGTGAACGAACGAGTCTCATCGGACTCGATTGGTTTGAGGCCCTGGGGATACACGTCACAGGACTCAACAGTTTACAAACACTCGACCTACAGGAAGTCTGCAAAGAATTTGCAGATGTTTTCAGCCCCCAGCTGGGCACATTCAAAGGACCCCCTGTGTCCTTAAAGCTAGACCCCACTGTCACTCCCATTAGAATTAAAGCAAGAAGGGTCCCAAGCGTATCAACAGCTGCCTGTTGATGATGCTGCTGCTATAGCTCAGACTATTGTGACCCACAGGGGAGCCTTTAAGGTAAAAAGGCTACAGTTTGGAGTGAATGTCGCTCCTGGGATTTTCCCAAGCGTAATGGAAAACACACTACGGGGCATACCGGGGGTTTGCCCCTACTTTGATGATGTCTTAATTGCAGGAGACTCCACACACATTCTAGCTGAAAGGCTAAGGGCTGTTCTGTTAAGATTCAGGAAAACAGGCCTCAAGCTCAAAAAAGACAAATGCAAGATTGTGGTGCCTTCTACTGAATTTCTGGGGTTCAAAATTGATGCTGCTGGGATTCACCCTGCTGAATCCAAACTAACTGCTATTTTAGAAGCACCTAGGCCAAAGTCTAAGGCCGAACTTCAGGCATTCCTGGGCCTCCTGAATTTCTACAATTCCTTCCTTCCACATAAAGCCAGTGTGGCTGAGCCTCTTCACAGGCTACTAGACAAGCAAGCAGTGTGGCACTGGTCACAAACACATGAGGCTTGTTTTAACGAAGTCAAGGCCTTGCTCACTTCTAACAGTGTACTTGCACATTTCAACGAGTCCCTTCCTGTGTGCATCGCTTGTGATGCATCCCCTTACGGGGTAGGAGCTGTCCTGAGTCACCTCAGGTCTGATGGAACTCAGGTTCCTGTTGCATATTACTCTAGAACATTGTCTTCTGCTGAGCGCAACTACGCTCAGATAGACAGGAAGGCTCTGGCTGTTGTTGCTGGAATTAAAAAATTCCATGATTTTCTATATGGCAGGCATTTCACGGTCTTCACTGACCATAAGCCTCTGCTGGGACTGTTTACCACACGTAAGCAGACTCCCCAGATCATCTCCCCCAGAATGCTTAGGTGGTCTATTTTTTTGTCTGCATATGATTTTTCTTTACTCCACAAGCCTGGGAAGGAAATGGGCCATGCTGATGGCCTCAGTAGATTGCCTCTGCCAGTAGTAGAAGCTGACCCTGCGCCAGCTGTCAACATTCTAACAATCCAAGCCTTGCCCAAGCTCCCTCTTAGTGCCAGGGATGTTGCCGCTGAAACAGGTACAGATCACACACTTTCACGTGTCCGTTCCTGGGTTTTGTCTGGTTGGCCTGAGCACTGCCCTAGTCCTGAGTTTCAGAGTTTCTGGTCCAAAAGGAACGAATTGTCCCTTTCTCAGGGTTGTTTGCTTTGGGGAAACAGAGTTGTCATTACCACCTCAATGAGGACTAGGGTCTTAGAATCCCTCCACGAGGGTCATCCTGGCATTGTTCGTATGAAGGCTCTTGCGTGCAGCCACTTGTGGTGGCCTAGTTTAGATAAGGATATTGAGGCTAAGGTGCATGCATGCCACCTGTGCCAACGCTCTCGCCCAGAGATGCCCCAAGCTCCCGTGCATAGATGGGAGGAAACACAGTCCCCATGGTCTAGGGTGCACATTGACTACGCCGGGCCCTTTCAGGGCCAGTTCTTCTTGGTCCTTGTTGACAGCCATTCAAAATGGCTTGAGGTTGTACCTGTCTCATCCACCAACACTGCAAAGACTATTCAGGTACTGAGGGGGATTTTTGCTGCACACGGGCTCCCAGATGTCATTGTGTCTGACAACGGCCCTCAATTCACTTCCTCCGAATTCCAAGCTTTCTTACAGGCTAACATGATTCGTCATGCCACGTCTGCACCCTTCCACCACCAACGGTATGGCTGAACGCATGGTGCGCATCACAAAGGATGCCTTGAAAAGACTCACCTACGGGGACTGGCATCACAGGTTGGCTGACTTTCTCCTTTCTTATCGCACCACACTGTCCACTTCTACAGGGAGAAGCCCAGCTGAACTTCGTTGGGGGTGTCAACTTACTGCTAAACTTGACCGGTTGCATCCGGACAGACTGCCTTCATCTACCTCACATCCTAGGGCACCTAGACAACTACTTGTGGGTGCCCCGGTTTGGGCTCGCAATTACGGGCCTGGTCATACATGGGTCCCTGCTTCTATTTCCAAGGTCACAGGTCCTCTCTCCTACGAGGTAGCCCTGGACAACGGTCATGTCCTGCGCCGGCACATCGACCAACTTCGCCCTAGGCGGGACCTT